AACCTCAAATTCTTGGGCTCAAGTGATTCTCTTGCCTCCACCTCCCAAGTAGCTGGGACTACAGGCACCTGCCACAATGCCCAGCTATTTTTTGTTATTGTTATTGTTATTGTTATTGTTGTTTGGCAGGCCCGGGTTGGATTCAAACCCGCCAGCTCTGTTGTATGTGGCTGGCACTTTAGCCACTTAGCTACTGGAGCTGAGCCATCCCTCTTTTTTTTTTTTAAGACAGAGTTCACTTTGTTGGCCTGGGTATAGTGCCATGATGTCATAGCTCACAGCGACCTCAAACTCTTGTGCTCAAATGATCCTCTTGCCTCAGCCTTCCAAGTAGTTGGGACTGTAGGTACCTCCTACTACACCTGGCTAGTTTTTTGTTATTTTTTTTTTAAGAGATGGGGGTCTCACTCTTGCTCAGGCTGGTCTGAGCTCAAGCAGTCCACCTGCCTCAACCTCCCAGAGTGCTTACAGGTGTAAGTCATTGCACCCAGCCTTGATTCTAAAATCTTATTTTCATCAACTTGCTAACTAGGACTCTGGCTGAGAAGTATTCTTTTTGGTGCCTGTTAAGTCTGTCTTCAAACAAAAGAAGTACTATTTTCCCCCCAGATAAATAAAAAATCATGCCACCCAGTAAAATCTTCCTTCTTTGATCCATTTCCTAAACAAACTGTAAAGTGACTGAGAGGATTACAGACTTTTCCTCTCAAACACGCTGAGCCTGAGGGAACACTAAGAATCCTGGAATCCATTTTGAAAAGCCAACTGGACTAATTCTTCTTTTGTGGGAGAGGGCCAGGGGATGGGAAGCTAATTCTTCTTTTTTAACCTTCATCGTAGGTACTTGCACAGATGCATGTGTAAACAAGTAGTTGTGACCCCTGTATCGGTACATCCTCTCTTAGCTGACAAAGAACAATGAAAAGAAAGCAAAGGTAACAAGAGAAAACTATGTAGGAAGTAGGCACCAGTATGTTCATGTTTTCCCTGATGAAATGTCCCAGAATTATTGGTTACTTTGTTTACATTTTACCAAAGCCAACAACAAGGATCCCCAATTTTTTTAACGTTGTGTTCAAAGCTTTAAGCTTGATATTTTAAATGTTTAAACAAAATTCAGTATGCTTTATTTGGAAATTTGATGCTCAGTTTCTATTTGAAAGTTATTGAATTATTTTTCACTTGAGGAAATTACTAAATCTCCCCTTCACTGTCTGGGAAACTAAAAACCAAAAATTGGTGATTTACTCCCTCCCTGAAGGCTCTTAAAAGGCAGCTAGTGAGTGAGTGCTATGTTTTAAACAATAGTGAACCTCTGGGCCTGTTTATCTGCCTTTGTTAGGGTGCAAACTAAAGGCATTTTGATTAATGGATTTAAAGTCTTCATAGTTTTTTCTGATTTTAGAACTGAATGCAGAATTATTTGTAAAGGACACTTTCAAAAGAACTGGAGTTTTAAAAATTGGTTCAAAGTGATGACAGTTATTTAGATGTAAACACACACACATACACACAAACACAGGCATTTCAGAAAGATGGTAAAACAAAGATTCAGGACTTCTCAATATATCTTTATTACTCAGAATGAAATCTTAGTATAAATGTGGAGGAAAATTGTGGTTAAGAAATTTAGAATGGGCCCATTGCTTTCAAAGAAGCAATTTCAACATCAAATATCATAGAACTTGAAATAGATTTCCTGCTTTCATCTGTGTAGGCCAGAAAATGCAAACTCTGGGACTATTTGTAATTTATATAATTTTCTAAGCTGCTTCACAGGTAACAAAAGGGAAAATAGACAAATTGGAATACATCAAAATAAAAAGCTTCTGCACAGCAAAGGAAACAATCAGCAGAGTTAACAGACAACCTACAGATGGGAATAATGACCTTATAAAAGGGCCGGAGGGAACCACCCTTTTGTTTTTCCATCTTTCCATCTTATGAGGTCACAACATTCATCTCTTCTGGAAGAATCAGCAACAAGGTACCATCTATCTGTCTGGGCTTTCACTAGACACTGAACCTACTGCCACATTGGATACAGGACAGGTGGCGCCCCAGCCAGCTCAGCCGAGCTGGCCTGGAGGACCTGCCGCCTCCGCCTTAGCGGTGTTGGTGTCGCGGCAGCCGGCAGAGGAACCAGTAGGCTGGAGCGTAGGCAAGGAGGGGAGCCTCCCTGCCCCACCGGAGGCTTTAGTAGCCAAAGGGACCAGACAACTGCTGGGGAGACACCGGCACCTTGGTGTCTTCTTCCCCTTTACACTTATGACTAAATATGGAAACCCCCATTTCCTATGCCCTAGTCAATTTCATGTAAGTTTCCAAGGTCTCAGTTCTGTGAATGGACTGTGTCCATTCATTAGTACATTCATTCACCTTGCTCCAGCAGAAGAAACTATGTCCATTCATTAGTATGGTCATTCACCTTGCCCTAGCTAAAGAGACTGTGTCCATTCATTAATGCATTATTCACCTTGCCCCAGCAGAAGGAACTATGTCCATTCATTAGTACAGTCATTCACCTTGCCCCAGCGGAAAAGACTGTGTCCATTCATTCATGCATTATTCACCTTGCCCCAGCAGAAAAGACTGTGTCCATTCATTTCCTGGCCTCATATAGAAGCAACCCATGCACCTATATATACCGCTAAACGGAGAGAGACAGAGAGAGAAAAACAGAGAGAGCTTTTCTCTCCTGACTAGGGTTTTCTCTCCCTACCAGGAACTGTAGTGTTTTTGTATTGTTTTCTGTAAATAAATTCTGTCTTGCCACTGATCTGTGGCAAGATTTATTCTTCAAATCACCAAGACCAAGAACCTGAAAGTCCGGTATCAGATTTGGCGAGCCAGCCAGGAGATAAGACGAAATTCTGGCATCACATTGATCTTGGATTTCTCAGCCTCTGGAACTGTGAGAAACAAATTTCTGTTCTTTATAAATTCCCCAGTCTAAGGTATTTTGTTATAGCAGCAGGAATAGACTAATAATTTCAATAGACATTTCTCAAAGGAAGACATACAAATGGTCAATAGATACGAAAAGATGTGAATTAATCATGATGTGAATGAAGGGAGATATCACTTCAGGCCTATTAGAATGGTCATTATGAAAAAGACAAAAGATAAGTGTTGGTAAGGATATTGAAAAAAGGAAATGCTTGCATACTGTTGTGGAAATATACTACAGCCATTATGGGAGATGGTCTGGAGATTCTTTGAAAAAATTAAAAATGGAACTACTCTATGATCTACCAATCCACTACAGGGTATGCATCCATAGGAACTGAAATCAGTATGTTGAAAAAATATCTATACCCTCATGGTCATTGCAATATTATTAACAATAGCCAAGATATGGAATTAACTTTCATGTCCATCAGCAGATAAGTGGATAAAGAAAATGTGGCATATATATATACACACACACAATGGAAAACTATTCAAGGGCAGATGCACTTAGCAAGATCCCATCTCTAAAAAAATGGCTGAGCATTGTGGCCAGGTGCCTGTAGTCCCAGCTACTCTGGAGGCTGAGGCAAAAGGATCACTTGAGCCCAAGAGTTTGAGGTTGCTGTGAGCTATGATGCCATAGCACTCTACTGGGGGTGACAAAGTAAGACTCTGTATCAAAAAAAAAAAAAAAAAGAAAAGAAAAGAAAAGAAAGAAAGAAAGAAAAAGAAAACTATTCAGCCTTTAAAAAAGAGAAGGAAATACCATCATTTGTGACAATATAGAGAACCTGGCAGATAATACTAAGTGAAATAAGCCAGACGTGGAAACTAAAAAAGTTGATCTGGGCACAGTGACACATGCCAGTAGTCCCAGCTACTTGGGAGGTTGAAGTGAGAGGATCAATGGAGCATATGAGTTTGAGGCTGCAATATCTTATGACCCATATCTGTGAATACTCATGGCATCCCAGCCTGGGCAAGATAACAAGATCACATCTCCACAAAGAAGAGAAAAAAGATAGAAGCTACAATATTCTCTTTACCTTTTGTTTTAAGAAGTCACAACTTCACAGAGCCAGAGAATCAAATATAATTTCAGATACTGAGAGCCAGAAAGGTTGGTTACATGACTTGTTCTACCTCATACTGGAAGTTACAGCTGTGTTCAAAACCATGAATTCTGACTCCAGACCAGTATTCTTTCTATTTCCTTTTACCTTTCTCTTTTTCTTTCTTTAGTTTCTTTTCTTTCTTCCTTCCCTTCCTTCCTTTCCCTCCCTGTCTCCTCCCTCCCTCCTCCAGCTCTTTCCCTCTCTCCCTCCCTCTCTCTCTCTCTTTCTTTCTTTCTCTCTCTCTCTCTCTCTCCCTTCTTCCCTCCCTTATTCTCTCCCTCCCTCCCTCCTTCCTCCTTCCTTTCTTTTTTGACAGAATCTCATTCTGCTGTCCTGGGTAGAGTGCTGTGGCATCATAGCTCACAGCAACTCAAACTCTTGGGCTCAAAGCGATTCTCTTGCCTCAGCCTCATAAGCAGCTGGGACTACAGGCGTGTGTCACTATGTCTGGTTAATTTTTCTATTTTTCAGCAGAGACAAGGTCTTGCTCTTGCTCAGGTTGGTTTTGAACTTCTGAACTCAAGCATTCCATCCACCTTGGCCTCGTAGAATGCTAAGATTACAGGTGTGAACCACCACACCTCACCCATTATTATTTCTAATACATTTACTTGTCTTAAATTTGTGCAGTTGTCATACATGTCAAAATAAAGTTGCTTTGACTTGGTGTAGTAAAGTCAGGATAATGGTAGACATGGACATAGCTTCCTGGGCAGAACCGCTGGACTGATTACACTGAGAAATGTTTGTTTCTGGTGTGTATCACTCATTTGTTAGTAATTTTTGTTCAAATTCAAGTCCAAATTCTTTCATTTACTAAATTGCCTAAAATATCCTTCAGATGACCAGTATCAGTCTCCAAATGCGATGTCACCCAGGCTGGAGTGCCATGGGTATTCACAGAAACTTGAACTGGTAACTAGAGAGTCATCAGGTCTTGGACAATATCTATCCTACTGCTTGTGTTCTATGATTTCTAAGTGCTGTGCTAAATACAAAGAACTATAAAATGATTGCTTTGTAAGTGCATAGTCATTTAAAAATAGTACAAAGGCTGCGCACAGCGGTTCATGCCTATAATCATAGCCCTCTGGGGGGCCAAGGCAGGAGAATCCCTTGGGCTCAGGAGTTCTAGACCAGCCTGAGCAAGAACAAGACCCCATCTCTACTAAAAATAGAGAAGTTAGTTGGTGTTGTGGCAGGTGCCTGTAGTCCTAGCTAATTGGGAGTCTGAGGCAGAAGTATCACTTGAGCCTAGGAGTTTGAGGTTTCTGTGAGTTAGACTGATGCCATGGCACTCTAGCCTGGGGCAACAGAGTGAGACTGTCTCAAAAACATAAAAATAATTAAGTAAAAATAGAAATAGTATGAAATGTTTTTTTAAAATCTGTTTATACACAACTCTTCAAATAGCACATCTTATTTCAGTATTACAATTTATATTAACTATCTACACATACATTCTTTTACAAGTATATGTAGCTTATGTTTGTTTCATACTTATTTATACTTCACACATCACTTTACCTAGAGTGAACAACACTCGAAAATACAGATCATATTTTTGTATTTTTCTTTTTCTTTCTTTTTTCATTGGCTTATAGCTTGTAGAGTATTTATTTATTGTGAGTGACCATTAAGTGTTGTTAAATGATTAGGAAAAACTCTTTAAGTATATAAAAAGTATTTATATAGATCTAGCCAGTGCTTCCTCTATTGTGGACAAGAAATAATACTACTAGATAGAAGAAAAGAAAAATTAGGCTAAATATCAGGTGATGCTTATTATAGTTAGGTTACTGAAAAATCTCTACCACAACTTACATCAAAGAGGAAGAAAAATGTTTATGGGGCACTTATGGTGCATGGATCTTGCTATACATTTAATGTTATGAAATTCCCACAGCAAGATTAGAAAGTTGTTACCATTACACCCACTTTACAGAAAAGAAAATTAAAGTTCAGAGAGACCACATAGCCTATCCACTTCATTTAGCTATAACGTGGCTAGAATTCAAACCACGTCTTTCGACTGACAAGCTTTTGCATTTTTCCCACCAGCAGAGATGATATTATTCCAATGATGTTATTTGAACATAGCATTTATTTGCCTAACATGGGAGTTTTAAGGAAAACATCTTTGAAAAATGCTTTTTCATTTGTGAATGCTTCCCAGTTTTCCCTCATACTACTTCCTATGCGTCCAAAAGAAAATTTAATCTCAATGATTAATCTCTATAAAATGTCTTAATTTCACAAAGTATATTTTATTTTAGCCAGAAGATGAGGAGCAGGATCCAAAATAGCAAATGATAAAGTGCTCTCCACCCTGGTTTAAAGCAGATGGACACATTCCACAGTGTCGATCAACCTGGAAGATATTCTAAGTGAAATAAGCCAGATACAGAAAGACGAATGGTCTATGATTCCACTCGTATGAGGTACCTGGAATAAGCAAAGGTGTAGAGATAGAAAGTAGACTAGTGGTTACTGGGTGCTGGGAGGCAGGGGCGGTGGGGAATTACTATTTAATAGGTGCAGAGCTTCTGTTAGGGAAGAGGAGAAAGTTCTGGGAATGGGCAGCGTGAACTGCCCATTTACAACTGGTTAAGATGGTAAATGTTATTATGTACATTCTACCACAATTTTAAAAGTCCCCAAAGAAACGAAATATACAAATGTCTATCTTATGACAACAGTGCTGTGTAAGGAAAATAAACAAAACAAAACAAAACAAAAAAGGGGGGGATGAAATAGAAACACGCACAAAGGCACCTCGACACCTTAGAAATTCGGCTGGGGATGAGCAGGATGAATAGCAGCTTCTCTCATACTGGGGTGGGAAGCCTCTGCTTTATCGGGCTTCTAGGAGAGTTTAGCGCCTTATCTTCAGTTGACAGAGATCCAGGGCCAAATGGTAGAATTAGAATGGGAGGTGGCAAGGCAGGGACTTGGCTAAGTAGAAAGGGCAGAATTGTCCTGGGAGGTTGAGACAATGGTAAGTAATAATGGGGCCCAAGAGATCCAGACGTCATCAGTGGGACTATTCATGGGCTGCTGCAGGTGATGGGGCTTCCTGATCCCACTCCCGGGGCTCCTGCCTCGAGTCACCAGTCTCCACAAGCCTACCATCTGACTCAGGATCTCAGAGCAGAGGGGCTGTTTCATTGCTCAGTCATGCAAATTCGGTTCAAACTTTGAGATGCAGCATTTTCTTTTCTTTTCTTTTCTTTTTTTTTTTTTTCAGTTTTTGGCCAGGGCTGGGTTTGAACCCGCCACCTCCAGTATGTGGGGTCAGCGCCCTACTCCTTTGAGCCACAGGCACCACCCAGCTATTTTATTTTCTTAAGCAGAATGTTCTCTTACCTCCCAGATCTTCTCCAGCTGCCCAAGGATGTTGGAAACCCCGGGGAATAAAGGCCGACCCTGGAACATTTCAATAAAGATGCAGCCTGCACCCCTAGCAAAGGAAATAAGAGTGAACCCGACACTTTCAGAGAAATCACACAAGCAAAACTGGACTGCCAGAATTTCTCCTCCTGAGAAATACTTCAGGGACAGTTAAGTAGGGACTATGATATTAAAAGTCTTGAGCCAAAAACCAGTCCCTATGTCAAACAAAAATAAAAACAGCCTGCAGTTTTTTGTTAAAATGAAATACAATGAGCAGTAGTTAGGAACACCATATTGTTAGCCAACATTTTAGGTCATTTAAGCTCATTTTATGAGAAGAGAGGAAAGTATTACATCCCCAAATTACATACCCCTTTTCACAGAATCCAAGGTGCCATCATTGTAAGAAGCATCATTATTTGATTAATATGTATCACTGAGAAAGAAAAAACTACCAGCTAAACTATGACATGATCAGAATGTTTACACTTCCAATATGTTTAAATAAATATACTTCCTTATAAATAAACTGTAATAAGTTTAATTAGATACAGATTATTTTCTCATGTATCATATTTGTACATGCAAAAAAAATGCAACACTGAGTAAAATAATTTGGTTTAGGTATTCCTAAAACTTTTTCACATCAGCATTTGACTTAGACTCTTTGATATCTATGTTTACCCATATTATCATCCTCTGTATTAAGAGTTTGATGATGTAGCATTTCTTAAAATAATACGTAAAAGAACAGTCCTTGGTACTGAGCTCCTAAACTGGCTTGCAATGGACATAGCATTAGGTTACTTTGACTCCTGCTTAAAGAACGCTGCTAAACATGTCTGATTCACTCCTTCTCCACAACCATTTGCTTCCCAGGGTTTAGAAAAGGAAAAAAGGAGAAAGCTCTCTTGCTTGCCTTGCTTGCAGGGTTTGATTCCAAGTCACTGACACCCCCTGCAAGGTTTTTTTGGTTTGTTTTTGTTTTTTTAAATCATGAAGGTTTTGAGGCCAGGTCATTTGATGTTCACACACATGCAGTCCTAACAAGTCACAATTGCACCCTCTGTGGTGTCCCCTGTAAGATGCTATTGATTATAAGATGCTTCTTGATTTAACAGAAAATGTACATCTTTAAATAGATTAAATAGAATGACATGTAAATTTTCTTTCCTACGTGATCAAACTGGAAGGTTAATTCACAAGGGACGTGAAGGGGTAAGATTTCTTGGCTATTATTAATGCACATTTTTACTCTCATAATTTTTTTTTTTTTTTTTTGAGACAGGGTCTTGCTCTGTTGCCCAAGCTGGAGTGCAGTGCTGTGCAGCCCAGGCTGGTCTCAAACTCGTGGCCTCAGGTGATCCTCTCACCTCAGCCTCCCAAAGTGCTGGGATTATAGGCAGGAGCCACCGTGTCTGGCTTCATAAGTCTTTTGAGTGATAAAAATTGTTCAGGTGACTGATTATAGATATTATCCCCATGGGCCAATCTGGTCCCAATTTCTTTTTACTACAAATCCCTTTCTCAATAACTCATAATTTTGCAAATTCCCTTCATCATTTTACCATTTTTATGTAGAATGATAAAGAAGAGAAATGTAAGTAAAACATCTTTGTATAACCATATTATTACAGATTTATTACCAAGTTTATTTAAAATATGGTCTTTAATATCCATGTGCTTATTACACATGATAATTTTGACTTTTTTCCATATGACTGTAGACACATGCTATTTAACTAACTTTTAATTAATTGTATAGGAGACGGCCAGACGAGGTGGCTCATGGCTGTAATCCTAGCACGCTAGGAGGAGGTCGAGGTAGGTGGATTGACTGAGCTCATGACTTTGGGACCAGCCTGAGCCAGAGTGAGACCTCATCTCTAAAAATAGCTGGGCATCATGGTGGGCACCTATAGCCCCAGCTACTTGGGAGGCTGTGGCAAGAGAATCGCTTGAGCCCAAGAGTTTGAGGTTGTTGTTAGCTGTGAAGCCATGGCAATCTACTGAGGGCAACAAAGTTAGACTCTGTCTCAAAAGAAAAAGATTGTATAGAAGAAAGCAAATTTCTTTCCTTTCTTTTTGAGGCAGAGTCTCACTTTGTCACCCCTGGTAGAGCGCTATAGCGTCACAGCTCACAGCTCACAGCTTACAACCTCAGACTCTTGGGCTCAAGTGATTCTCTTGCCTCAGCCTCCCAAGTAGCTGGGGCTACAGGCACCCGCCACAATGCTTAGCTATTTTTAGAGGTCTCATTCTGGCTTAGGCTGGTCCTAAACTTGTGAGCTCAGACGATCTGCCCGCCTCAGCCTCCCAGAGTGCTAGGATTACAGGCCGTGAGGCACTGCACCCAGCTAAGAAAGCAAATGATTTCTCAACAGTCAGGTTTAAGAACAATTTTCATCTTGTGTCTAGTTTGGGGACAGAATATATGTTAAAGGAAGGTTGAGATTTAGCTGTATCATCTCATATCAGAATAGACAAGAATTGTTTTCATGACCTAATATTTGGTTTTAATTTAATCAACTAGATTTTTCTTAGGATCTCGTTTTAAAAAAAAGAGAGAGAGATCAGGCTGCATTTTGCCAGAAACTTTCCCTCCCTCAAATAATAGGTTGTTTTTATTCCCAATTTTTAAGGACAATTTGAGTATAACAGCCAGATGTTTTTCCTTTTACTAATTTTTGCTGTAAGAAACATCTTGATAAGAGCTACAAGAATTTTGCTCAGACAAATGCAACTCATGCATTTGGTAGAGAGTATCTTGAAGTGAACTCGGAGAATTATTGTGATCTTAAACCTCCTCATTAACTTGTATTGTAACTAGTATCTGTGTTCTTTTTGCTTCCTATCTTTAAAACAATGGATATAATAAGAATAAATGAAACGATACATGAAGGACAATAAAATTGATGGAACACTGTGAAATGGTGACAAAGTGTCCCGGTTGCTAGCAATGGTCAGCTGAGAGGTTAGCCACCTGGGAAACCTAGTTGGTGAACCCCGCCAAATGGTCTCCACGCTGGCCCCCCTGCTTTCTCCATATACACTTGAAATGCTTCAGACCATTTTATCTTAAAGTGAAAAATAAATGTGTGTATATAAAACATATACGTAATTGGCTTATTACTTGGTTATAAAATAGAAATGGAAATGTATTGGCTTTTAAAGACTTCAACCAACCCTTGATCTAGTTCCCAAACAACTTTCAGAAATTTCAGGGGGTCACAATCCCCTAGAAGGCTTGAATGCATTTTAAACATGGTTCAAAAAATATAGTCATTCCTAGATGTAGGGATTTTTTTCTCCCCTCAAAGGTTTTCATGGCCTAGAAAAACCTTGTTCCTTTTTCATACTGGCAGCTGTAGGGAACCAAGAAGGCCTTTCGTTACACAATTTCTTAGTGTCCTTCATCTTCTATACCACTAGGATGGTATACAAAGTTATGTAAATTATATTGGCAAAAACTAGAGAATTCAGGCCATTATACAAAGTACTATAAAGTAACATAAGAGGCTGGAAGTGGTGGCTCATGCCTGTGATCCCACTGCTTCAGGAGGCCGAGGGGGGATGGTCACCTGAAGGAAGGAGGCCCAGACCAGCCTTAGAAACATATTGACACCCCATCTCCACAAAAAATATTTTAAGGCCCAGCAGGTGGGCTCATGCCTGTAATCCTAGCACCTTGGGAGACTGAAATGGGTGGATTGCCTGAGCTCAGAAAGACCAGCCTGAGCAAGAGCGAGACCCCAAGTCTAAAAATAACCAGGTGTTGTTGCAGGTGCCTGTAGTCCCAGCTACTAGGGAGGCTAAGGCAAGAGGATCACTTGAGCCCAAGAGTTTGAAGTTGTCATGAGCTATGATGCTGTGGCACTCTACCAAGGGCAACTGTTTGAGTGAGATGCTGTCTCAAAAAAAAAAATTAAAAATAGCCTCTCAGGAGTTACAGTGAGTTATGACCATGTCACTGCACTCCAACCTGGGTGACAGAGTAAGACCTGTCTCAGAAAAAGAAAAAAAGTAACACAAGATATTTGTGTTCCAGTGATAAAATGCTCATATTTGGTTTATATGGTTGAAATTCTCCATTTGCACTTCAGGGTAGGATGAAACCATCCTCCGACAAATCTAGAGTCTAAAGTTACAACTCAAATAGTCACTCACTGTGAATATACAGTGTGTGTGTGTACATGTGTGCACTTGTGCATGCCTTGAGCACAGACAAAAGTCCTAAATCAATTCTATTTCACTACCTTAAATATGCATAAGTACCATAAATATCAATGCCTTGATAACAATATAAGTCTGCACACTTTATGTTTCAAAGATAAAAGATGTTTTCTATATGTAAGCATTGTTCTTTAAAAATGATACAATTTACCTTCCTTTTTGTAATTTGTCTTTTAGAACTGTTTTTTTTTTTTATTTGCTGCTTAAACTTAAGAATACAAATTGTGTGGCTAGCATCTATTTTGCTCATCCCAGACTGGCCTTAAGCAAACATTTTAAATAGTCTCAACATTCAAGTCCAGATAGAGAACCAGAACCAGCTCCGATTTCCTTTTATTCTGTTTTGTTCTTAAATCTTCATTCCTGTGGCTCCTCTTACCTTACATATCTTTAGGCTTCTCAGAGGATTTCTGCTCTGTGGAGAAACCCTTGGGGCAGCCCAAGTAGATGAAGGGGAACTTTACATGCAGAAGAACAAAAAGACAAGGTGGCATTAAACAGTGAACCCCTCAGAAGGGAGAGACTGGGGCATTTGATTGCCCCAACTATGGTCTCTCGGTGAAGTTAGAGGAAGCAGTTGACATGTTTTCTGTTTTTTCTGGCCCTCTTTCTAACTTTTTCTCTATTCTGAGCATGAACAAATTCTTCTGTAAAAGAGAAAAAGATTGCTCAAATTCCTGAGGCAATCCTTGGAGAGAAAAAAAAAAAATCTCAGGAGTTTTAGGCTTCTCAGAGGTGTAAGGAGCATATAAAAAATGTCTGGAGAAACGGATCGGTATTTCATTTTTTACTGTGGAGATGAATTCAGAACAACATAATTTATTGCAGTGACAT